GACTCGTGGTGATGTCTCGCTTCGATTTGCTTCCCTCCTTGTATGCGGAATCATGACACCAAAACCGGTTGGGGGGCGGGGGGGTCATGCACGGCGCAATATCAACTTTGGATTTGGAATCCGACCCAGACCCAACAATGGCCATTGAGCTGTCATACTGGGGGGGGGTCGTGTGCTAGCCAAAGATGCAGAAGCTGCTTCTGTCGCACCGCCCGATTTGCCATTTTCACCCTTTTTGGTACAAATCGGAAATGGATGACTAGGGTTCGACTTTGCCTTGCTCAAGGGCACCTCGACGGCAGTATTCAGGCGACCCGATTTATCTCCATGTGATGGGCTAAATATTAGAAACACTTCCCGGTATGTGCCGCATTGCCACGACACACCAGCTCAGAGTCAAACTGATCATCGGGTTGAAGCTTTCTTTGTTTTGAAGAGGAAAAACTCTGGCCTGGCTGAGAGTTTCAGCCGTGGCTTCGGCCTTCATCAATACTTCCCGGTGAGGTGTCGGGTGGGGAAAACTTCCGAATCAGGCGCCCCGACCCGGTCAAGGCTGCGCTGCAAATCCCGCCGCTGCTCAAGCAATGTGTCCCATGTGTGCGGGAGCACGGAAGCCCCCACCCGGTCCCTGTCGATGGTGCCGTCAACACGCCTCCTATTTTCGATTGCCACCTCGATCCATCTTTTGAATCGATTGGTTTCTGGTGTGATGACTTTCCCCTTCTCTGGCAAGACGAGTGGCTTGACATGTGAGAGTACGAGACTGAAAAACAGATTTTGAATAGCTGATGTATCGTAATATTGTCTGATGGAACTTGGCCTTTGGTTCTGTCGCAGACACAAAAAAAAAAAAAAGGATAATGGCAACTCACTGTTGGCGATCCTACTGCCGAGGTGCCCTTGAGCCCTCATTGAATCGTCAGAAACCGCTACATTCAAAAGAAGGATCAAGGAGGCTTGGAGACGGCACCGTCAACGGGGACGAGGGGGCTGACATGCTCCCGCACACCCCGGACGGCGGCGGGGACTGGGGCGTTAGGCCCGAGCGGGTCGCGCAGCCCGATTTCAAAATAAGAGCCGCTATTTAACCGCATAAACCGAGCTTGGTGTGACGCTTTCTTTTCGGTCCGCAGCGAATGAATAATTCAAAATAGCGAGCCGTTTGTCACTTGATCAGTTTTTGAGTCGACGCCGAACGACAAAAGAGGAGATGCGGCAAATTAGCGCGGCGAGATCAAAACACGTTTGACTCGAAGCATCTGAATGGCGAACGCGCGATCAAAATGGCCATCAGATTAGCGGCCGCGACTAATTGATTCGTCGACTGAACGATTTCAGCTGTGTCGGATTGCGACGTGGATGAAGACCTCTGCTGTGTGTGTCGCTATGAGATAAATCCCAGACGCTCGCCTTCTTTCACTTCCTCTGCTCTTTGTCTCCCAACTTCACCATCACCCCTCCTCCTTCCCTCCTCCCCTTTTTGCCCCCCCCCCATCAGCACCCTCACATGCATGCACGCCCCCACCCCTCGGGCGACAGCAGAGCAGGAATTGATTAGTGGCACCGCTTAAAAATAGACGACTCGTTGTCATAGCAACGCCCACAATGAGCTGTTGTCTAGTTAAATAAAGAGCATCGTTGTGTCTGAGCAGTAGGTGGAAGGTGTGTGTGTGTGTGTGTGTGTGTGTGTGTGTGTGTGTGTGTGTGTGTGTGTGTGTGTGCGCGTGCGCTTTGCATTCTGTATGCGCGTGTGTATATTCACGGATGGCAGGTGAAGGCGGAGGTAATTATCTCGCCGCGGTTCTGCTCGATGTGACTTATGTATGGCGCCAAGTCTCTGATCGCTTTGGGCAACAGGAAAACACTTCTCAACACTCATTGGCTCCGAAGCCGCATCCCAATCATCGACTCCAAGCTGCATCGTGCAGTCCGTCGCAGCCCTTGTTGCTATGGGCGCCATTCTGATCGGCCTCATTAGTGTCAAGGACTAGTCAGACGCAAATGGATCCGATCGCTCACGTGCCCAACCGCCCTGTCCCCCGACATCCTTCTCAGCTGAGGTGGGCCATGTGCGCGCGCGTCCAGGTATTTGCCGCCGGAGAGACGTTTTTCCAGACGCTCGACCGGCACAGGGTCCTCGTCGGCACAGCGCAAGGGGTTTTGATCGTCGTCCCCGTTCCGAGTTTTTCGACGACGCGGTCGGCCGCGCGCGCTGTTCGTCATCTTGAAGGGAACAGATGAGCGACGAGGGGTTTTCACACACTGCGGCAGTTCACCCTCACACCTGACCGCTGGCCTCTGAGCCGGATGCCGTTGCTGAGTCCAAAAAAAAAAATGGCACCCATGAAGTCCAGAGCTGGTGTGACTGTCAAGCGCCGCCAATCTGGTGTTGAGCAAAGCTTCGCCTGACTTCTTCCCGTTGCGCTTTACCCTCCTGTGTCGCCCAGTTCGACAGAAAACGGCAACTGCCGGTCGCTAAAACGCAGTGCGATCGCCGTACTTATTTCAAAGCGACTCGGAAAGCCTTTTTCCAAAACGAATGGACGACGCACTTTGCCGTTCTTCCAACCGACGCGAGGCCTTGGCTCGGCTTCAAGAGCAATAGCGAGACCCCTCCGAGCGTGCGGCGGCTGCGGACCCGCTGGGTCAGTCCGTCGGCTTCCGCGTCTGTTGGGTTGGTCCAAGTTTTTGGGGTGGCCAGCGGCCCCCTCTCTCTCACATCATCGATTGTGCGAGAATCCTTTGGAAATCCTCCCCGGTGAAACACTGTTTGCGTTTGGGACCCAGCGCGGCCTTCTCATCTTCGAGTTGGTCGACATGGACGTTGGCGTTCCATCTTGAGCGGAACGATTGACTAAAAGACGGAAAAACCAACAAGCCAACACTTTGAACTAAATCCTTCCGACGCAATCGTGACTCGGGTTGTCTCGACTGTCATCTCAGAATGCCTTTATTGTGTTTGCCTCGGGATCAGACGCCGCAAAAAAAAAAATGCCCCCACACCGAGACACACTGTCTTAGTTGTACATCCGATGTTCGTTTTTTTTTTTCTTTCCTTCAAGGCGCAAATTGTTTGCACAGAATAAGACGTTGTTGAGCATGTGCACACCATCTTGCAGCTCACCCGACGTGACCCAAGCGCCGCCGAGAGCTCTGTGCCGCCGCAGTCCGACATGACCTACATGCCAGCAGGCAGAGCGCAGAATGTGGTTTTCGCCCTACGCCGATGCGACGCTGACTTCAGCGGAGCATCTCGGATTGGATTTTACCGCGGCGGCCATCTTGCGCACGTCGTCGCCGTCAAACTTTGGCTCTTCGCTCGCCCGTTTGCCGCCAAATTGTCACGGGGCCTCGCTTGCGATTTCTGGCCGGGGCGGCGTCGGCCCCCGTTGGCTCCGGTCGGACGCCGCCCGTGCTCGCTTGCGCGTTGACTCGATTGACTTTTTATTTGATTTGTTTTTTTGGGGCTGTGCGCTTTTTCACCTTGCAGCAGTTGTGAGTGCAATTCCTGACTCCTTAGCCAAGAGTTTGTGAGAAGAGGCCTTGATGATGCGACCTTCATCATCAGAACTCTTAGGCAATATGTTCCTGTCAAGGATCCAAAGGGGAGGGGGGGGGGGGAATAATAAAATTGGCCGACGACCAGGCCTGGTTGTATTTGCCCTAAGTCAGTTCTGATTGGCACCAGGTCACCCGGGACCCGAATGCGGACAAGCGGTCTGGAAAATGGACGAATGAAAGAATTGACATTTGTGGGCCCACAGCGAAAAATGACGAGCGTAAACCTAAACGTGCCCTCCGTTCACGGCACCGTTTTGCGGGTCCGCGCTCCCTTTCCCACTTTGCTTCAACGGTCAGCCCTCAGCCTCCTCCCAAATGGCAGTGTCGCGTGGCCGGCGCCGACCGACGTGTTCAATCTGGCGGGTGGTTTTGTCGTTTTGTGCGGGGATTGCTTTCGAGTGGAAAAGCGACCACCCCCCCGCCAACGCGGGGGCGAGTCGCACTCAGCCGACCGAGCCGACGCTTCTGCCGTTACACGGTCGGTCTACAAATCGGATTTGGCTTTTAAATTGAAGAGCATTTTGCGTCCATGGCCGTAGCAGGCGGCCGTGCCCGCTGCCACGTAGCGGCCGACCGCGGCATTTTGAGTTGCGCTTGAAAGTTTTTATTTTTGGCAGAAGGTGAGAGCGAGCGGAGTCGGATACGTGCGGCCCCTAAGTGAGAAGCGGATGAAGCGGGCCGTTAAAAAGTGCGGCAAAGCGCTTCCCGCCGATGGCGTAGGACAAACCGGGGATGGAGGTGGCGGCGAGGCAGAGGGGCCTACCGGGAGTTGCGTCAGCCAAATAAATTTGTCCCGATGCAGAGCATGCGTGAAATGAGCAGCAGATTCCACATCGCGGCCGCAAATGGCCCCATTCCCAATCCGCTCGCCGGGCTGGTGCGCCGACCGCTTGGCAAAAGCGCGCCGACCAAGGCGCGGAGGCACGGCGGGCCACCTTTGCCATTTGTGTACAGGAAGGTCCGAGGAAGGGCCTCCGGTTCACACGTTGTGCAAGACGGCATTCGGAGTGGGGGGGGGGATTAAGATTCGCTCTCGGGAGAGCGCTGCCCTCCTTGTCTCCTCCCCCCACGTGCGCACGCGCAAAGCCACGCGAGGACAGCGCAGCGGGGAAAAGAAAGCGGCTCCATGGCTCTTTTCTGATGATTTGTAAGAACCCCCCCCCCCCCCCCCCC